TAGTAATCTTTTTACTAATACTTTATTTAAAGTTTTTGAGTCTATATTCATTAGAGAAAACATTATGAAATGCAAAATGGATAATTTTGATTACGTTAAGTTGAAAATTTTTGCACAAACAAAGCCAATGCAACCAAGATTAGAAGGTAATCAGAAAGCTGGGAAACAATTTTTATAGCCAGTGTCTCTGATAAAGGCCTCATTTCTAAAATGTATAGAGGACTGAGTCAAATTTAAGAATTACAAGTCATTCTTCAGTTGATAAATGGTCAAAGGACATGAACAGCAGTTTTTAGAGGAAGAAATTAAAGCTATCTATAGTCATATAAAAAAATGCTCTAAATCACTATTGATTAATGCAACTCAAAACAACTCTGAGGTACCACATCACACCTGTCAGATTGGCTAACATGACAAAACAGGAAAATGATAAATGTTGGAGAAGATGTGGGAAAATTGGAACACTAATGCATTGTTGGTAGAGTTGTGAAATGATCCTACCATTCTGGAGAGCAATTTGGAACTATGCCCAAAGGGCTATAAAAATGTGCGTATCCTTTGACCCAGCAATACCACTTCTAGGACTGTATCCCAAAGAGATTGTACAAATGGGAAAAGGACCCACATGTACAAAAATATTTATAGCAGCTCTTTCTGTGGTGGCAAAGAATTGGAAATTGAGGGGATGCCCATCAATTGGGGAATGGCTGAGTAAGTTGTAGTATATGAAGGTAATGGAACACTATTGTTCCATAAGAAATGATGAGCAGGCATACTTCAGAATGGATTTCACTGATGCTGAGTGAAGTGAGCAGAACCAGGAGAGAACATTGTACACAGCAATAGCCACATTGTGTGATGACTGACTGATAGACTTAGCTCTTCTCAGCAATGCAAGAATCTAATACAACTCCAAAGGTCTCATGATGGAAAATGCTATCTACATCCAAAGAAAGAACTTTGGAGTCCGAATGCAGATTGAAGCATACTATTTGCTTTTTTTTCTTCTGTTTTGTTTTGTTTCTTCTTTCTTGTGGTTCCTCCTATTGTTTCTAATTCTTCTTTACAACATGACTAATATGAAAATATGTTTAATAGGAATGTATATGTAGAACCTGTATCATATTGCACGCCGTCTTGGGGAGGGGGAGAAAATTTAAAACTCATAAGCTTATAGAAATGAGTGTTGAAAACTAAAGATAAATTAATTAATTAAAAAATAAAATAAAAAAAAATAATTTTAGATTTGGAAGGGCCAAAAAGGTGTTGTGACTTGCCCAAGCTAACACAATTAATGATGGGATCAGGACCAGAGCCCAGGTCTCTTGATTCCCAGTGGAGTAGTATTTTCACTGAACCATGTTACCTTCCTTCCTTTTAGTCCCAGATTTATGAAATAGGTTATCTACAACTATTACCATTTTCTCACCCACCCTCCTAAACTCCTGTAATCTGTGGTTCATCCCATCCCTTCTTATTTGCCAAGTCCCATTGCCTTTACTCTACCACCATTGTTCTAGGCAGCTTTTGTCTTTGACAGCCTCACCCTTCTTGAGACTCTGTCTTCCTTCAGCTTCCGTGATTCATGTAATATTGTAATACAACTTAGAATTTAATAACTGAATAGAAGAAGAGGGCCAAACAAAATGGTAAAGGGGTTTGAGGAGGGAGAGAGTAGTTGAGGGTGGGGGCAACAGAGGAAATTTTGCCGGGCTTGGAGAAGGGGTAAAGGAGGATCCCATGTCTATTCCAGATATTGAGAACGGTGTTTGTAAAGCTATGGATTTAATTTAGGCTCCTAAACTATTGTAATAGCCTTTTAGTGGGTCTCCCTACCCCATACCTCTCTGCTCTCCAGTACATCCTCCACACAGGCGCAGAAATGATATCCCTGAAACACAGGGCTGACCTTGTCACTCGGCTGCTCAAGACACTCAGATAGATCCTGTTACCTCAAAGACCATACAGACCCCTCTGGCATTTAAAGCCTTTTACAACCTGAACCCAGCACCCCTTTCTAGCCTTATCACATGTCACTCCCCATCATGCATCCTTCCTTTCAGCTTGACTGGTCTTCTTGCTGTTCTGTACTCAGAGCATATCTTCTCCTACCACCCTACCTTTGCACAATGCAGTAAGTGCTCCCCTCCACCACTTAGAATCACAAACTTACTTGAATGCTCAACTCAAAGGGCATACCCTAAATAAGAACTTTTCTGATCTTCCCACTTGTAGGGCTTCATCTCCTCACAGAATTACTTTGTATTTTCTTTGTATATGTTTCATATCTTCTTGTGTATGTGTATGTTTCCCTTTCAATAGAATATAAGCTTCTTGAGGGAGGGGCTATTTTACTTTTGTCTTGTGCCCTAGTGCCTGGTACATAGTAGGTGTTTAATAAATTTTTTTTATTGATCAACTTTGTAGGAGAGGGCTAGACAGGACTGAGGGGAGAGGAACAGTTTAATTAGCCTTATAAATCATAGTGGGGGGGGCATGGCAGTGGGGTTAAGTGACTTGCCCAAGGTCACACAGCTAATAAGTGTCTGAGGCTGGATTTGAACTTGGGTCCTCCTGACTCCAGGTCCACTGCTCTATCCACTGTGTCACCTAGTTGCCCCACAAATCGTCTTAACAATGTTAGGTTTGTTGTTTTGTTTTTTAATGTTCTACCTCTTAAAACCTAGGGCAAATTTCACTTTTTCCTTCAATCCTTCCTTCCTTGACCACCCCAACACAAAATAATTTCTCTTTTCTAAATTGCAGTGGCAGACACTACCTATATAGTTTGTTTAGCAATTCAGTTCCACATTTATTAAGCACCCACCATGCATAAGACCCTGGTCTAGCCCCTAGAGACAAAAAGATGAAAAACGACACAGTCCTTATCTTTAAGAAGTGTACAGGTTACTGTGCACAAATGCGGGAGGCTGTGATCCCTCCATGTAGCCTGTAGACTCTTACACATCAGCAAATACATTCTGTAAATATTTGTTGATTTGATCCACCTGCTGTTTTCAGATGGCAGGATATTCTAACAAAAATGTGCTTCCATTATAGTAAATTATTCCATATACAAACAGTGAACTCATTTATATTACTGACCATTTTAAATGATTGATAGATCAAAAAACACCTATGAATCTTATTTCTTTCAAGATGTAATTCAAATACCACCTTCTATACAAACTCTTTCCTGATCCCCCAAAGTGCTTGTGTCCTTCCTCTTTAGTTATCTTCCATTTAACTGCCTCATATTTATTTTGTATAAACTATAGGTACACATTGTCTTCAGAATAGAATGTATAGAGCTTTACACTCCTTAGGAGGAAGGACTGGCTTCTTTTTGTCTTTGTATCACCAAGGCATAGAACACAGTAGGCAATTAATAAAGACCTGTTGGTTGATTGATTATTTCCCCATTGCGTCCCTGAGGAGTTGCTGTCTAATGATCCAGGGGAGGGGAAGAAGATAGGTAGGGCATACCAACAGCTAGCAAGCTATGTGGAAATGGAATCTGTGCCGAGGAAATACTGTCCTTGTGGAATCTTTAAGATTCACAAGATAAGCAGGAGAGTTTGCCTATGTTCAGTAGTGGCAGGACCTCCCGTGCCCCTCAACACAGACACACACACAGACACACACAGACACACACAGACACACACACATCCCTGCACTACAGGTCAGATGTTTGACTATTTTGTTTACAAATAAAATCTGTAGGATTCTTTAGAAATTGTCAGAAAACTGAAATTTTAACTGGAAGCGTATTTCTCTAAGAGTCTTGTACTTTAATTTTATGAAACTTAAGCTGCATCATGGTTCAAAAGACATCATAAACGTTTCAGAAGAACGAAGGAAATGGTGATTATCAGAAATGTCAGGCAGCAAAGAAGTCTAGTATTCAGGAAATCTATCACATGAAAAATAGAACAAATTCTTATTTTGGTGGTGTAGAAGGGATCAGGTGTAAGAAAGCTGACTATCTTTTGTTGTCTTTGGAGGTTAGATATGATGAGGGCAGGTACTAAAAGGGGGAGCATTAGGGAAACTCTGCAAGATTTAAGTGTTCACTAAGTGGAGATAAAATGCATTGGGTTGTCAGCTATTACATGTTTCATTTTAATTTCTAAACTTTAGCTTAATTTTTACTCTGAAACTTCCTTAGCCAGCATAATAAAGATCGAGATCCTTCAGACAGAGATTTATTCACGCAGTCATGTTAATGTTACTTAAGTTAGTCTAAGGTGATAACTTAGCAACATGCCAAATAAGACCTCAGATTGTATAGAATAAACCTTAGATGAACAGAGTACAAAATGACTGTGTTCTCTGTTCTTGTGTAAAATTGAGACTTGGATTTTCAGCATTTTTCTTTCTGATGATATGCCCCAGCTATTACTAAATCTCTTGTCCAGCTCAATACAATCTTTAGGAAATCAAGAAATAGCATAAGTATCATGAAACTAAAAGGATCTCAATGAATAATAATTCATACTTACATATGCGATTTATAATTTACAAAGGATTCCTCCAGGCAACCTAGTCAGATAGCACAAGAATTATCATACCCATCCCCATTTTATGGATGAGAAAACCAAGGCCCAGAGAAGCAGAGTGATTTGCCCATAGTCAGTACAGCAAGTATCCAGGCCTGGATTTGAGCTCCCGGGTCTCCTGACATCAAGATCATTACTTTTTCTACTGTGCTACCACATTGCCTAAAATTGTATTGGTGGCTGAAGGTATTAGGAAAGAAAATAATGAGAGACCAGGCTTTCCAAGTGATATCTTTGCTTAGCCAAAGTAAAAATTCAGTTCAGGCTGTTAAATGAACTACTAGTGAAACGCAACTCAGTTGATATAAGATAATAGTAGTGCTTTGGAACCTTGATAAATATCCATTCAGTTTCTTAAGTTTGTTCCTGTTACTTAATTTTTTGAAGTAAGTCAATTGATTAATTAGTCAATGCCTTCTAATTGTATTTCTTTGCCTACAGCTCCTCAAAGAAATTTTGAAATTGCCTTCAAGATGTTTGATTTAAATGGAGATGGAGAAGTAGACATGGAGGAGTTTGAACAGGCAAGTCTTTCTGAAGAACCTCGTGGCTTAAGTGGTTATCAGTCACTGAGCACCTTCATCAGTCAGTCAGTTCATAAGCATTTGTTAAGTACCTGCTTATGGCAGGCACTTGTGCTAGGCAGTGGGGACATGGTTGCAAAAAACACAACACTCTTTACTCTCCAAGGGCTTTCTTTCCAAAGGCGCACATCTACAGTTAGGTGCAGAACATATACATAACGTCTATAAATAGGCACAGAATAAATACAAGGTAGTTAAGGAGGGAGGGCACTCGGCCCTAGGGAGGATTGGGAAGGGATTATGTAGTAAGTGGTTCTTGAACTGCATCTTAAAAGAAGAGATGAATTCAGTGAAGCTGGGGTGAGCATGGGGGTACATTCCAGGCACGGCGGCTGGCCATTGCAGAGGCATAGGGATGGAAGATGAAGTGCTATGTGTGAGGGACAGAGACGAAGTCAGCTCGGTTGGACCACAGGGTGAAGGAAGGAGAATAGCATGTAATAAAACTGGAAAGATAGGTTGGAGCCATGTTGTTTAGCTTTAAAAGCTAAGCAGAGAGGTTTATATTTTATTCTGGAGCTATTTGGAGTAGATTGAATAGGGAGTCATGGCTACCTCTACACTAAAGGAAGATCATTTTGACACCATGTGGAAAGAAGATGGACTGAAGTGGAGAGAAACATGAGGCAGGAAGACCCCTTAGGAGGATGCTTTAATAGTTGAGGTCAGAGATAGAGAGGGCCTGGACTAAGGAAATGTCTGTGGGATTAGAGAAGAGGCTGGGATGTAAGAGACGATGTGGAAAGAGAAACAGTGAGATTTGGCAAGTGATTGGGGTGATAGAGAGGCAAGTGAGGGATAACACAAAGGTTATAAACCCAGGAGACTGGAAGAATGGTGGTGCCTTCATTAGAAGCAGGGAAATTTGGAAGAAGGGTCGTTTTGCGGAAAAAGATACGGAGCTCTGTCTTAGACAAATTGAGTTTGAGATGTCTCCAGGATATCCAGTTTGAATTGTTAAATAGACAGTTGGTGATGGATTGAATCTCATTCTGGCTCCCCTCGGATGTGTTTTGACCATGTCCCACATATGGGAACAGTCCTAGTTCTTAAGGTGCCAACTATATGTAGTCACATTTAATTTCTCCTGTTTTTCTTGATTTTTTTCACTCTGCTATGGGAGGCATTGAGGTGAGCATATTGCTGCTGACAAGTGTGAGGCTAGGCCCATATTTCTAGCATTTCCCCTCCATTCTCACCCCTCCCTCTCTTACACCCAGGCTCACACAAAGAAGTTCACATTCACTGTCGTCTTCATTTCTTAGTAATTCTTCCTTCTCTTCTCTTGTGCGAACCCCTCTGCTTCAAAGCTGTAAAATTAAATTATTTTCTTAAAGGATTTCTGTAGGCAAAGGGAAACCTGACACTTTTATTTTAGCTGTTGTGGGTTCCTGCCTGTGGCAGATTTATATATGATGCTTCCTCAGAAATCCAGTAGAAATGATTCTATTTTCACAGTTTGGTCCTGGAGCCCTAGGAACACTGCTGCTGTAACCTTCAGCAGTCAGGAGCAATTTCACATGGCCTTGGCAGCTGGGGCAGCTTTCCAGAGGCTCTTGTCTCTGCCCAGAGAGATTTCAAAGCAGGGGGAAAAGTAGGAGCAGCATTATGCAGAAGGAAGTGTTTTTATATTCCCAAAAATATTTTGGGGTAAAGGAGATAGGTTATGGAAGTAGTTAAAGTAGAAAAGATACATAGCATAGAGACAAGGATTTCAAACCATCCAGACAGGTTTTCTGAGATCTATAGGTCTGTAGGCCTTAGCAATTCTCTACCTTCACTTTGCCTTCAGTTCAATTCTACAAACATTTAGTCAGTCCATCAACTTAGACCCATTCATTCAATTAAAAATCTCCAAAAGAAAGAAAGATAAATTTGTTGAAAAAACAGCCTGACTTCCCCAGTGCAGATGTACTCCTCATTGCCTTCTTAACTGACTGGGTTAGTTTTTCTTGTTCAGCTAATTCACGTGGTGGAGGGGGGACCTGTATCAAAGACTAGAACCATAAGGGGAAAGCACTTAATTGCCAAATGATAAGAATCCTCTAGAGTTATAACACTGATTAAAGAGGAGGTCAATGTGCTTTCACTGAAAGATAAAGTAATTAGCACTTTGAATGTCAGGGCAGTAGGAGACAAAAGAACTGAATTCTGAGTCAACAGCAGGCTCAGAGGGGTTATTAAATATTTGTCTCTGACAATCCTAATTGGAAACAATATGACACAGATTTTAGACTGTTTTACCTTTTAGAGTATGATGTTTTGTTCTTCTAAATTATTTCCCAAGTTGCAAGTAATGCCTTCCACAAAATAATTACAGAAATGTAAGATGTGCTTTTGAAGCCAGCAGTACTTTGTGCATTATTATTGATCATTCATCAAAATAATTGACTATTGTACCAAACACATATACCACTCAGTGAAGAAAAATATTGGTTCGTGGAAGACAGCACATTGTTCCTTCATTCACCATTTGTTAAACATTTATTAAGCATTGGTGACATGCAGTGGACTTCTGAAAGAGATCCAAAGATAAATATGATATTGTCCCTGCTTTCCAAAAGTTTGATCACTAGTGGGGGCAATAGGGTATGTGCACAGATGGAGATACACTTTAGTACTTCCAAAAATCTGTTGTTTCATTGGTATTGATATTTCCTAAGTACTGTGGCCAAAAGACTTCTCACCTTATGGACTAAGCTTGTCATGGCTGAACTTCTCAGAATTTACCATGGTTGTTGGTCAGCAGTCCATTGGTGGGCCTGTATGCAAAGCCTTTCCAACTTAGTAGGACTTTCCAGAGCTTATGTTCTACTGACTTAGCTTTTGAGTCTTCTCCATGCTGGGTAGGTGCCAAGGAGTCCAGTGAAGGTCATCTGTAACTAGAGAAATCTGGAAAGGCCTGATGGTGGAGCATAAAGAGAAAGGAGACAAGGAAGAGCCACTTTCTGGCACTTTAATGTTGACAGAGTTGTTAAGATCCCTCATCTCATTTCATCCTTTAAGCACAGGGAGGGTGTAAACAGGCAGAGGTGGATAAGGGCAGCTATGAGGTTAGGGAATGTGAAATGTGTTAAGTGATGGCAGTTTGTCCAACTGCAGGAGGGGGAAATAGTGTAAGAGAAAGTTAAGTTGGAGTCAGATAGTGAAAGTGGGCCTTGTGTCCTAGACTAAGGAGATTGGACTAGACTTGTTAAGTAGTGGGTAGCCATTGAGGGTGATATGACTCAGTGTGGGAGAGAGGATCACATCATGGAGGTAAATAAGCCCATTATGGGAAGAATCAGTTGGGGGGGAGAGGCTGGGTCCAAAGGGGCCCATCAGGAGCCTAGTGTGATGGTCAAGGCAAGAGGAGCCATGCGTGGCTGGACCCAGTGTAATGCAGTGGTTTGGTGAAGAGACGTAGAATAGGACCCTCAGCTATACTGAATTCTCCTGGTGGAATTGGGTAATGCCATGAGAATTTGTGGTAGGCCTTGAAATAGCAGAGAGAGAAGGCAGCCGAAGAGAAGCTTCAGAAATCAGTGCCACCCTCTCAGTGGCTTGTGGGCCATAGTAGCCTTACCTTAGCCTTACTGGATTTTTTGGATTTAGGACTCATATACTATCTCTTCAGCTTTTTGTTGATGTGTTGAAACCCTAGTGAAGTCCTTTCACTATAAAAGGGAATACTGACTTCAGAGAAATACCTTTTTAATACCATGTTGAACAAAATGTAACTCTAAATAAGACTATCTTTTACGACAAGGAGGTACGGAATAACAAGTGTAAAAGCTCATAGAAAAGAAAAAACAGTGAATAAATATATAAAGTGCTTTGTGTTTGAAGGCCTCTTATATGGGGCTATTATTTCCCTTTGTTACTTTGTACCCAAAGAATATATATTCATATAGACTAATTAGATTTGAAAGTGCAATTGGATTTCAAACATTAACCTCCTTTCATAAGGTATTATGGTTGGGGGGAGGGGGAAATGGCAGAATTATTGGCAAGGAATTATAGTGTAAAAAAACCATTATAAATGAAGAATTTGGGTTTAGATTTTTAAGAATTTCAGTCATCTTGACTTTTTTGTTTCATTTCCCAGTTAAATAAAATGTTTTCTTTGCTGATGTTGTATTATTTTTCCTACACATATGAAGAAATCTAAAAGGACTCATCAGTATGAGTGAGGAAAATCATACATTTGTCATTAGGCACCTGCAAAATTAATGTGGTATAAAGCAAAGTAACAGCTAGTATTAATCTTTTATCCTGTTTTTCCTAAATCTCTTTGATCACGTGGAGAGAACCAAAAGGTATTAATCATCTACTTGATGATTTACTGACTGGAATAAATGTGATTTTTGTCAGTGATAGCCATTTTCCCAACTCAGTTTTTAAGCTGATCACAAAACAATAAATTTGCTAAACGTTAGTTCATAGGAAGATGTGAAAATAAAGGAAACCTCCTGTCAGATTTTAATTGATAAGACATCCAGGGTCATATCAAACTGAAAATTACCAGTTGTGTAAAGGAGAAAAAGAAACTGAATTTTGCTCCAAGGACGCTCTCTTCTGTCCTTGGGAATACTTAACCTTTAAGAAATGCAAGCATTTTAAACTGAGAGTAGATGAGAAAGAACCAAGTGATCCAATTCTAAATTTTATCTTTTTTTATGAAAACAATTAAAATGATGAAACTGGTATTCCCCAAGGTCGAAAATTATTATTACCTTATTAGTAATTGTATTAACATATGTATATAGTGCTTTTTTGGGCAGCTAGGTGACCCAGTGAATAGAACGCCAGGACTAGAGTCAGGAAGATCTGAGTTCAAATCCAGCCTCAGACACTTACCATCTGTGTTACCCTGGGCAAGTCATTATATCATTTGGCCCTAACAGTAGTCCTTTGAAATAGGTAGTACAGATATTATTATCCCCATTTTATAGGTGAGGAAATTGAAGTACAGCAGGGTTGAGCATTTTGTACCAGTAGTAAGTTTCGGATTCAGGATTTTAACCTAGGTGCTGTGATCCAAGTCCAATATTCTTTCTGCCATATCACAGTTGTTGAAAGATAAAGATGTTGCAAAAAGGTTTCACAATTCTGAGTCCATACTCTAAGGAAATAAAGTCACAAATAAGCTAATATGAAGTTCTTTACAACCATAAATAATTTTCTTCTATAGGGTAAAGGTCACGTTCTTTAAAGGTTACAAAGACCAAATAATTACCAAGTAATAGTTTTTATGGATAGATTTTAATCCTAGACTGTCTTCCCCCGCTACCAATATCTCTTAGGCCATCCCCTTTGTCATCATTTATAAGCTTAGGGAATGGCAGGTAATTTTAGCAGCCTAAACTAAGCAATATGATCCAAATCTGTCATTTTAAAAAATATCATTTCCTTCATCCAAATACAATTTTTTAAATTATTTAAGCCACTGGTATGCATAATTGAGGGGTGATTATATTTGTTAAAAAAAAAATAGGTTTTAATTAAAGTCCTGCAGTATGGCTGCAATACAGTTTAGCCTTATTTAGCATAGTGTGGTAGAAGAAGCACCAGCTTTGGAGATAGAGCTCTGGATTCAGGTCTTCATTCTGCCATTTACTGTTCATGTGACCTTGGGGAAATCACTTGTCTTTCTGAACCTCAGTTCCTTCTTCTGAAAAATGAGGACCATAGGATTTAGAGTTGGAAGGGATCTTAAAGATTTGATTCTCTAATCCAACCTACTGATTTTACAAATAAAAGTACTTAGGCTATCTAACTCACAGAGATTTTGTGAGAATCTAATAACATACACACACACACACATATATATATATGGATATATACATATGTGGATATATACATATATATGTAATATAACATAACATATGTAACACATATATAATATATATGCATATATATAAAATTTTGTAAACCGTGAAGTGCTATGTGAATGTGTCATAAGTAACTTTGATCCCTTTTGCCTGTTTTTCCCCCCAAAAAATCTGATGAATTGTTAATTTAGTGTAATTCAATTCAGCAGGCATTTACTTAACGTTTTCTTTATGCTAGTTGCCAAAGATACAAAAACAAAATAGTGCTTGTTCTCAAGGAGCTAACATTCTACTGAGGGGACAGAACATAAGATAACATGAAAAGGAAGAGAAGACTACCAACTAGGAGGACCGTAATGACTTCACGTAGGAGGTGACGGATGAGCTGAGTCTTCAGTGAACCCAAGGATTCCGAGCAGCAGAGGGGAGGAGGGCGTGCGTTGCAGGCAGGGGGCTGACCTATGTGAAGGCATGGAGTTGGAAGAACAGCTGGTAGACCAATTTGGATGGAATGCATTGTGCATAAAAGGAAGTAATGTAAAATAAATATGGAAAGATTGAGTTGTAACCAGATTGTGAAGGGCTTTAAATGCTGAGAATTTAAATCAAATGAAATAATATTTATAATAAGCACTTAGTACAGTGCCTGGCACATTGTAGGTGCTTAAAAAATACTTGTTCTTTTCCCTCCTCCCTCAGCTAAGAAGTTTTTTATCTCAGAGGAAAATAGGAACCGCTGGAAAACTTAGGAGAGACATTTGTCTCCTGTCTTCCATTTCTGTTGGTCTAAATCCAAGTTTTGTATTGAGACCTTTGTAGTATTAATTGTGGTCTTCCCACCACTAGAAACCTTTTATTACCCAGGTCAGTTAAGGGACTCCCATCATTATGAGTAGAAGGTTATTTTGAGTCTGTATAAAATATTGGTTACAGTTTAAAAAAACAAAAACCTCCTCCACAAATACATGGTTTCTACCTCTGAAGTTAAGTTAAAACAAAACATATCTTCCTCCTTTTTTAATGTCATTAAAAAATCTTAAATATTGAAGTAGTATTTTACTGATTGGCATTGTAAAAACTTTCACCCAGGACAATGGCTGAAGTTCATGATCATTTTGGTATTTTGCAATGCTAATTATCTGAATGACTATTTTCCTATCTGGTAGTCTGATGGAAGAATTACGGTTTGAAGGAAACATTTTCCATCTAGGAAGCAAATAGTACCATGTTTAAAGCAATCCCAGGCTTTCCTCCTTAAGAATAAAAAATTAAAAACCACCTTAATTACTTGCTTAGGTTAAAGATTAACTATTCCAAGTAGCTGTGTCCTCACTCCAAGTGCTTGACTTAGAATCTCCCCTTCATGATTGAATTGGTTCCCTTTTCTCCTAGGAGAATTCTAAAGCACGAGCTTCATTTATCACTCCTAACAAATGTCCTAGTCTCCTGAAGATTTAAAGCATTTGGCTATAGCTGTTCTTTCCTCTATCAAAACTGTACAAGCCATGAATCCAACCAAGAGTGAAAGGTTTATTGACATTTCTGAGATTCTTGAGATAAGACATTCCTTTGAGGACAATGGTTTCTCCTCTCGTTGTACATTGCTCGCCAAGAAACGTTAGGAACTTTAAAAAGAATACTCTTTTCTGAAGAGAACCTCTCTTAAGATCATCCCAATTATTTTCATTCTCATAAGAATTTTTTGTTTCCCTTTCTGAACTCTCTTAGGTTCAGAGTATCATTCGCTCCCAAACCAGCATGGGCATGCGTCACAGAGATCGTTCTACCACTGGTAACACTCTCAAGCCTGGCTTGTGTTCAGCTCTCACAACCTACTTTTTTGGAGCTGATCTCAAAGGGAAGCTGACCATCAAGAACTTCCTAGAATTTCAGCGTAAACTTCAGCATGATGTCCTGAGGTTAGAGGTTAGTAACTGTTAGCTTTGGGGAAATTGTGACAATATCCTTTAGATGTATACTAGGGCCTGCTGACCACAAAGCTTTTGGGTGAAAGGGCACGTGTACTCAAATATGCCATCTCTAAGAACTAATTGGTTTGAAATTCATTAGTAACAAATCACCTAGCAATAGGTAGAAAATACCATGTTCCAGAAAATGATCTGAAATGTGATTTTAAGAGTAAAGGGACAGGGAAAGGCTAAGGAATGAAAATTTTAGCTATTTTTACTAAATTATCAGATCGATAGGCAAAACAGATTTAATCTGAAGGAGGTATTTGAAATGTCCTTGGTATACATTTCTTGTGTGAAAACGGTGAAGGGGGCGAGTGAGGGGGAGGTACGAAGAGAATACATGAATTCTTTTGTATGTCAAGTCTACTTACGGCATAAAACAGAAGGGCACACAAAGGCAAAAAAACCTACTGAGGACCAAGTGTCTTGGAGAGCTTTTTTATGACTACTTTGAATCCCAAGAAATTGCTCAGAGGAAGAGAAGATACCTTGACATTTCCCTTTCTGCTTAGATTTCTTGATGGCATGTTTAGCCACTGATCATCATTGAAGTGTAGGGTGATGAGCCCCCCATGGAACAGGGGCATCTGTGTCCCTAGTTCCTCTAGGATTATTTGATTCATTTCCTTAAGCGTTGGGGAGTCATAACACCTCACCATGTGGTACTTTGGTGCTGAAGAAAACTGAACAAAAAAAAAACAGTCCTGGTAGTGGAGTAGAAGTGTGGGTAATTGGTAGAACGTGACCTGCCCCCCACCCCTCCCATGCCCAGCACACAGTCTGGCACATAAGAGGTACTTAACAAATGCTTGTTGGTTGATTGATTGATTAACAATGCAAAAAATAATTACGATTTACTTGGGGATATGTTTTTATGCCTGATCATGAAATGTGAATATGCTTTGATGTTCATGGGGTTCATTTGAAAATAATGAAGGAACATTATTAAGACATGACTATAAGTGGAGCTGAAAGACTGTCATCTTCATTCTGACCTCTCTCATTTTAACATTTCCCAAGTGTAAAGGGTCCTTCTGCCTTCTGTGACGTACTGAAAATAGGCAGTTCATTTAGTCTGTCTAATACAACGAACCAGGCCTCTCCCACCACAAGGAAAGCACTTCTCTCCAAGTGTTCCCTGCTGTGTGTGACATAATAAATGGTGAGGTGTACAAGGAGAGGTTTTCAACAGAACTAAGGCAGAAATGGTTTTCCAGTAAAATTAAGGTTGATGAGAAAACCATAGTAGCAGATTGTCTCATTGTATTTCTGAACTTTGCTATAACTGTTGATGTTCTATAGAGGATAAGCAGTGAAGCAAAATAGTGTGATTGCTGTCACTTAATTTGAAATAAAAATTTGCTCTGTAGATAAATCACACAGATGATGGAGTTCATTCAAGGGAGTTTTAAAGACCAAGACTTTGGAAATTATCCACTTGGGAATATTTCTAAACTAATTAAGGGCTCAGTTATCCATCAGAAATAATTTAATCTCATATTAGTACATTTATTTGCTCTAGTACTCAGAAAATTTATCTGTGAAGTTGAGTTTTTTTATCTTTGTATACCCCACAGTGAATTAAGCACTCAATAAGTATTTGTTTAATTGAATTGCCTTGACTTTTATTGTATAAGTAGCTAGTTTGATATTGAATACAATTACAGTATGCTTAGTGCACAGTATAAGAAGAAATATACAGAAAGACAGCTCCGACATTTTTGGAGAAGCATGTGTATTCCAGGGATATTTTAGCAAGAGCCAGAAAACGGGGGGCTGGATTTCACCAAGTTATTTTCCCAGAAGGATTGGCAAGTATGGAGATACAGGACAGATTCATTGTTTGCAAGGTTGAGCAACAAGATTTGACAATGTGACAGTGTGTGGGATGATGAGTGTTGATATTACAACACATTTAGGACTATAGCACTTAAAGCTGGAAAGGACCTGAAACCTCATCTGGTCCAACCTTATTTATAGATTAGGAAACTGAGGCCCAGAGAAGCTAAGCAACTTGCCTGAGACACCACACATAGTAAGAAGTAGAATAGCCAAGATTCAAGCCCATAACCTTTTACGTAGTAAATCTACTTTTCATGTAAGTTTCATGAAGTTGTGATTCCCTATTGACAATGGTGCCCAATAAGTGATCATTTATTGGACTGGAGTACTGTCTAGGTTCTTGTCAGATTTGTTTGATTGAATTCTACCCTTTTTTTTAGATTAAGTTATTTTTAGTTTTCAACATTCACTTTTATGAGATTTTGTATTTAAAATTTTTCCCTCTCCTTCCCCTTGATGGCATGCAGTCTGATACAGGCTATACATGTGTAATCATATTAAACATATTTCCATATTAGTCATGTTGGGAAAGAAGAATCAGAACAAAAGGGAAAAAACCACGAGAAAGAAAAAACAAACAACAACAACAAAAAGAAGAAAGTAGTATGCTTCAATCTGCACTCAGACTCCATAGTTCTTTTCTCTTGATGTGGACCACATTTTCCATCTTGCGTCCTTTGGAGTTGTTTTAGATCATTGCATTGCTGAAAAGAGCTCAGTCTATCAAAGTTGGTCATCACACGATGTTTCAGTTACTGTGTACAACGTTCTCCTGGTTCTGCTCACTTCACTCACCATCAGTTCCTATAAGTCTTTCCAGATTTTTTGGAAATCTACCTGCTCACCATTTCTTATGGAACAATAGTATTCCATTACCTTCATATACCACAACTTACTCAGCCATTCCCCAATCGATGGGCATCCCCTCAATTTCCAATTCTTTGACACCACAAAAAGAGTTGCTATAAATATTTTTGTACATGTGGGTGCTTTTCCCTTTCTTATGATCTCTTTGGGATACAGCCCTAGAAGTGGTATTGCTGGATCAAAGGGTATGCACATTCTGATTGCCCTTTGGGCATAGTTCCAGATTGCTCTCCACAATGGTTGGATCATTTCATAACTCCACCAACAATGCATTAGTGTTTCAATTTTCCCACATCTTCTTCAGCATTTATCATTTTCCTGTTTTGTCATGTTAGCCAATCTGATGGGTGTGATGTGGTACCTCAAAGTTGTTTTGATTTGCATTTCTCTAATCAATAGTGATTTAGAGCATTTTATATGACTATAGATAGCTTTAATTTCTTCATCTGAAAACTGCCTGTTCATATTCTTTGATAATTTATCAATTTAAGAATGACTTGTATTCTTATAAATTTGTTATAAATATAAATTCTATATATTTTAGAAATGAGACCATCAGAGACAGTGGCTATAAAAATTGTTTCCCAGCCTTCTGCTTACCTTCTAATCTTAACTGCATTGGCTTTGTTTCTGCAAAACCTTTTTAGGTAATGTAATCAAAATTATCCATTTTGCATTTCATAATGTTCTCTAACTCTTGTTTGATTATAAATTCTTCCCTTCTCCCCACATCTGATGGGTAAAACTTCCTTGCTCTCCTAATTTGCTTATAGTCTCACCCTGAATTCTACCCTTCTTAAAGGAACTAGAAAAATGTGGATTTGATGGACCAATCTCAACATAGACAGTTTTTTTTAAATAAAATTTGAAGTTTTTAAAAATTCAATTCAAGGCTAGAAAAAATCATTGAGTGAAGTTCCTCAGAGGCTTATGCCAGGCGTAATTCAAGTTAGTGTATTTATTTATCTCTTGGAGGCTGGAGTAAGGAAGGCATTGGTCAAAACTGGAAGGTCCTAAAAGGTAAAATTGTGTTTTTATTTCCCAAGTGGGGGTAGAGCAAGAGCAGATAAGAAATTGTAGAAATGAACATTTCAAAAAACATAACGTTCTAGGAACAATTGGAAAACTGTTTATGCCAGAAGGAAGCGACACTTTTCAGGATGTGCATTCTGGGAACTGTGTAGTCATCCCAAAAAAGGGATTGAGGTTTCAGAGCCTAAACTAATAGGATTGGAATCAGGAGTGTAACCATTTTTATAGGGATATGGGAGTCAGGCAACAGTAGCCATTCCCTAATGAATAAGTAGTCAAGAGATGTGAGCATATGGTTCTCAAAAGAAAAATTGCAAATTATTTATAACCAAAAGATTGCTTCAAATCATAATTAATAGAAAAAAATAATTCTGAGGTTTTATCTCATTCCCAACAAGTCGACAAAGATGGTGATAGTCATAATTGGAGGGGCTGGAAAGACAAACACTAATAGACTATCGGGGCAGCTGTGAACCGGTCCAACCATTCAGGAAAGAACTTTGGAATTCTGCTCTTAAAATAACTAGAATGTTCATACCCTTTGATCCAGAGAGCTAGCTAGGTATATACCCGCAAGAAGGTTACCATATACCCGATAGTATTTATAGCTGGACTTCCTGTGGGATCAAAAAACTTCTAACAAAATAGGTACCTATCAGTTGGGGAATGATTAAATAAATCATGGGACGTGAATGTAATGGAATCTTACTGCACTGTAAGAAATGATGAATATTAACAATTCAGAAAACTCAGTAGTTCAGTCAACAGACATTTATACAGCACCTACCATGTGCTACGTACTGAGCATAGGAAGAATTATGAACTGATGTAAAGTGTAGAAAACAGAATGGGAAAACAGTACACATAATGACTACAGCAGGGTAGATGGAAAGAACACACACAAAAATGAAACTTATAATGACCAAGTTTGGCCCTGGAGAAAAGGTGACAAAATTCATATCCCTGCCTTCTCTGCAGAGTCCCTATGGGTGTTGATTCTTGAATATATCACTGCACAATGTTCCTGTATTAATTGGTTTTGGTGAACTGCTTTTTTTCTTCTTTTTTTTATTTTATTACAAGGGATGGCTCTCTAGGGGAATAAGGGAGAAATGACTTCAGAAATAAAAATGATATAAAAGCAAAACATCTAAATAAAAATTTTTTCAAGAAAATAAATATCCTTTAATTTAAAAAAAAAGTGGCTTTGCT